AAAAGATATTTATTTCTTTTCAAATGCCACTTAAGGCTGGTTAATAGTAGGTACTGGATTGACACATTTTAAAAGTTCAGGAACTAAATTATCATACTTTAAAATTCAGGGACCAAAGTGACACTAAGCCCAAAGTATAAGGTATTAATCGAAAATTTTCCCTTAATTCAATGCTAAACTTTATAGAATCGAGAATCACAAACCCCAACCCAACCCTAACCAAGTAATAGTAATGACTATGAATACTCCCTATTCCATTTTCCATTAGACCTACTCATGAGCCAAATTCAAACTTAACTTTTGCAAAAATTTGAATAAGGCCTAACCCTAAGCCCAAATCCGAGATAGTATAAATCAGGCCCAAAGCCTGGCCCGTAAACAGATCTATTTCCCGTTACAAACAACCAACTAATGCCACCTTAATGAATATAATCTTCGATTGTGTTGGGGGCCCAGCCCAAGTGAGTAGGTAAAGAATGAAGATCGACAGTGCATAATTCAATCGAGTTGATGGGTTGGAATCAGTCATGCCTACCTGTCATACCACCACCATTCAGCCATTCAATTCAATCAAGGGGGACAAACGTCACTTTAATCAGTCTTAGGTCGACTAATTTCATGTGGGCATGCGTCATATGTACCACAATACAAGAACTCCTAGTCCAGGTGAGATGGACCTTAGGCTTCAACTTGCCAACTCTAAAAAAAGCTGATTTTGGCCAGTACCCCACTAGAATTGAAATGCTGCCGTTAGCATGGTTCGGGTCAGGGTCAACCCCATTTACCCTAATTTGGGTCTGTATATTTTGGTTTTGATTAGTAGAGTGGTTTGTTATGGATCTGCACCTTGAATCCCAATTTTATATAATAGCATCAGAATTAGCATCATTGCTTGTTCTCACTAACGCAAATCTCAACGATTGTGCAAATTGTTGAGGAATCAATTATTCTCTAATATGCCTCTTTATAAGAAAATCCATTGAGCTTGAAGCATAGACAAATACGGGCCCTGATGAGGGCAGATTTGACCCTCCGATGATATTGTGATATATAGCATCTCAGAACAATTAGATGACACCCGAAACTATTTAGGCAACAAGTTGCCTTAGCTAAGGTGATGGTGTCCCAACTAGCGGCGTGGCACAGGCGCCAACCTGGCGGCCTGACACAGGCGTCGAACTGGTGGCCTGGCACAGGTGCCAACTTGGCGACCTACGAGACGTGCTCGTCGAAAAATTCGGCATGCATATCCAAACACTCCCATGATCTTTGGAAGTTGGCCCACATACCGAACGATCCGGAGGGTGGTCAACATGCATGGCGGTTGCCTCCGAGAATCTTGGACCACTTAGACGACCTCTTGGAAATCTCGGATGTGGTGTGTGAAGCCCACGCCAAATTATGCCTATATAAAGGCACCAACCCCAATGGCATGGGGGGGGGGGCAAGTAAGCATATTGTAGCTCTCATACTTTATGATTTTTAGCACGCAGTATACCATGGGGATACTGACTTAAGCATCAGAGCAACCTCACTGGATTAGCCACCCCGAGTTCTCTGATCCTCCTCTTGTAGATCAACCTAGTTCGCCATCCAACTGGAAGCCAGATCACCTCCATCAGGGAGCAGCTAGATTGTGCTACATCATTTGGCGCCATTGGTGGGAAATGCTATAAAAAGCTAAGTTCTCATCCTTTGAAAGGCTAAGTCATCTTCTAGAAAGCTAAGTTCTCACCTTTTAGAAATTAAAAGCTCTCACTTTCTAGTTCGGATAATCAAGCCACCTCGGCACGGGTCACCTCAGGACGAGGTCACTTCGGTACAAGATCGCAACAGGACCACCTCACTCCCAAGGCACTTCGGCGTTCACCCCAGTTTGGAACTAAAGAGCATCAGTTCGGGGATACTGACTTAGACTACTACATGGCGACCCCGAAAATCTTTCCATCAGATTTCAAGCCTCACGGGATCACACCTCGTAACGGTAGGCCTTATCTTCCCCCCGCCTGGTTCGGGTGGAATTGATAAGCCTTATCAATTGGCAATGTTATCCCTCAATTAACGCGGAAACGGATCTCATCGTGACGAGGATCCCAGAACCGCTCTGCAAAACCCACGAGGACTCAAATAAATAAAGTTTCCAACCCTGAGGGCACAAGGTACGCATGATTTCCCTGCTCTCTAGCTCTCAATATTCTCAGCAATTTTTAGCTCGCAACAAGTTTGCTAACTTAAGCATCGGAGCGATATCGTCGGGTTAGCCACCCCGGGTTCTTTGATCCTCTTCTTACAGATCAACCTAGTCCGCCATCCAACTGGAAGCCAGATCACCTCCAACAGGGAGCAACTAGATCGTGCTACATCATTTGGCGCCGTTTGTGGGAAACTCTACAAAAAGCTAAGTTCTCATCCTCTGAAAGGCTAAGTCCTCTACAGGGTGCAGTTTATAGGCATTTTGAACCAATTGGTGGGGTTAGATTGGCATGAATAGGCTCGAATTAGGCAAATATAGAGGAGTAGTGTCTAGGATAGGATTTTTAAAGTGTCTAGGATCTTATGGAAACATTTGATTGATTTTGGAGGGCCAAAATCATGAAAATTTGGGTCAACCAGAGCATTCGAAATGGAATATTTGTTCGATGATGGGGCAAATGGGGGAATTTTAGGTTGAAAATTTATGGGTAGATGTTTTTTGTGTCTAGGGTTCAATTATATGGTCTAATTGATCCAGAGGTATTAGGATCAAGGAGATTTGGGTTGTGGGTGCTTCAAGCTAATGAGAGGGTTTGAAAGAAAATCTTGGTTTGATAAAAAAAATGGAGGGGAATCTTGAGTTGACATTTCAGGGGTAGATATTTTAGGAGGTCCTAAGTCTAATGACGGTGTTCGGGGATTTTTAGGTACTTCAGAAGGATCAAAACGATCTGATTGGGTGTTTGAGGTAAATTGGGGTTTCGACGACGAATTGAGCAAAAATCAGATGATGACAATGAGGTTTTTCAAGGTATTGGTCTCTTGGATCACTTGATGGGGTTTGATTAGTTCATAAATGATATGATCAAGGGCATTTAAGAAATGAATATTTTGGCCAATAAGATAGCCCAAATTAAAATCTTAATGTGATAAGAATTAAATAGGAGATATCTATAATGAAATTTTGTGGTAAAGTATTTATAAGTAGCTAGGGCTCCCATTAACTCTAATTTTCAATTCGATTAAAAAATCTCACGCATCACACCAGTATTTATTATAAGATTATAAATATAATATAATTTTCCATAAAGCCCAACACTTCACGCATTGATCAAGTCCTTTCATTTAATTAATTTATTTTTACTATTAAAATAATCTAATTTACTTATTTTTTATGTTTGTTTCTCCTCACTTTTTGTAATGTTGGTCCACCGAAAGTCCATCTCTAACCTCGTTGATCTGTGACTCTTTGAGACTTTGACATTTGCTCCATCCCGCTCATCATTCTCTCTGGCCATTATGATCCAATTTTCTAATTACCGAAAACACCCTCAACTTAAAACGTTTCAAATTCAAAAGGGATGCCTAAATGCCTTTATAATTTCCAAGAGTCCCATTTGTTGCCAAGATGGTCCAAAAAAGTGATAACGAATTATGAATTAACTGGTATTCATCCAAGGCTTGTTTGGAACGGTTTCTGCTGTATTAATTAAAAGCTGCTTAGGTTGAGCATCCATATTCCAAATAAGCTATTTAGACTGTGTTTGGTTTGAAGGAAAAAGTAGGGAAAGGAAGGGAAATGTATCCCTACTTTTTCCTTCAAACCAAACATAGCCTTACAGTAGTTTTACCTTAAGTCACAATTCTGTCATTCATGTTAGCTTTCCGTATTTTCATCTAACTTCAGAAGTTTGCACGTTGAATCCACTTTGGAACATCATAAAACTTGTCCCGAAAGACCTTCCAAATGGGCTGATATCAGCTACCCCACAAGTTGTTCTCAGATCTCTACGATGGAACATTACAATACATGGCCGTGGTGTTCACTCGAATATGTGAAAACAATTTGTGGGTAGTAGATCTGGGGTGCTCCCAAATGAGCACCAAATTCACAATCCAGATCTCTTACCCACATCCATCCACAAAACAATACTGATGTGCATAGAGAATATCTCCCCTGAATGGTAACATGTAAATACGTGAGATGTTCTGAACGTGGTTTTCAAATTGTTGTTGATCTGGACAGTTGGACCGTTTAGCCCGAGAACCATCAAGGCAACCAGTTCTGTTTTATCCTAAATCCGGTCATTGATCAAAAACCGTTGAATCGGTCAATGACCCATTGATCCAGACGATCAAACCGTCGATCCATTCAATGGTTTTTAACTATTTTTTATTTTTAATTATTTTAAAATTTTTGTTATCAAAACGGGCTGTCCATTCAAACCGGATGGCCGAACTATCAACCTAGAAACCGGTGGCCAAAACAGTTTCATCTCTAGATTGTTTTTTAAAACCATGGTTCTAAATATGCACCAGCGGTGATGTATGGGTAGGGTCTGAATTCACATCTATACCCCAGAGAGGGTGCCTTACAAAATACCCCACAGCATATCTCAACATGCATTGGGAACATCTCCCGTATGTCATTGAGAGATTCCCAGGACACTATTGGAACGTGCTGGGCGGAGAAGTGAATTTGTAGGGTCTTTGTGACTATGAGATGCAAACACCCAAATTAATATTGAGTGATCAGATTGACACCTCACAAAGCTTCCCACAACATCTTCCATCCGTGTATTGTTAACATCTCCCCATGATAAATTCGGGAGATGTTCCCAATGCATGCCGGGAACGTTTCATGGTATCGGGATTGGTTAAAACTTTTTAGGCACTTTACCTTTTCAGTTCCATAAGGATCAAATTGATATCTGCTTATCAAAGAGTACTCCTAATATCATCACCTCACAGCTATATATCCCATCAATCCCATATGTATTGGGAACATCTCGTGTTCTCAAAATCTCAATATGCGACTAAGACATACTGTGGGTTGTCCGAAAGACAACACTATCTCATTTTAACAATTAAGAAATAAGGTATGCGTTAGCAGTTAATAGTTTATTTCGGTAGAAGTTAGCAGTTAACAGTTAGCACAAAGTCACTGACCCCCCAAGTTCCCGAAACTCCAGGATAGAAATAGAACAAAAATACTGTATTAGGCCTTCACTGTGTTTTTTTTTTTTTTTTTTTTTTTTTTCTTTTGTTTTTCTTTTTTAGCTTCTCAGGTGAACGTCACACCCATTCTCTTTTCTTTGCACAAGAAGCGTGTTTCTTTCACCGGGATTGCTCCACCACTTCGTCCGGCACCAGGAAATCTGGAAGGGTCCTTAGAATGATTCTTTCCGTGTTGGGCGAAGCAGAGGGAGGGATGATGGTATGAAGAGGAAAGCGAAGCGGACGACAGAGAGACATGGCGAGGGTAGAATTGGGATACCAAGGGAGAGGGAAATGGTGTTCTTATAAGAGAACCACTGTCATCATCTGTTGTATCAACATTGTTGCAGCTCTTTACGTTCTCTACACCCTCTGCTCCTCCGTCTATGTCTTCAATAATGCCCCACCCAACGGTAGGTTTGTTTTCAACCGACAATATCCATGTCATGATAGCTAATATCTGTGTTTTCTCGGTTATGATTTGGCTTTTGTGAAGAACCCATTTTCAGATTTTTCCGATTCGCTTGTAATGCAAAAAACCCATTTTGCGATTTACGCTGTTCTGTACTTTTTGGTGCCTGTTTGTTGAAAGGGACTTTCTGTGTTTTCAGTTCTTAAATATACTCCAGATCAGATTAGGAAAATGCAGGATTCGATTCGGATTCGAAAGGCGTCAGAACCCATAGAACTTGTTAGATTGGTAAGATCCGTATTTTGGTTCCGGGATTTGTTTTGGTGCTGTTACTGTTTGATATTTCCTAAGGTGATTTTGTAAATTTTGGAGTTGAGTACTTTGAGTTTTCTAGTTTCATTATTGATTAAAATTGATCTCCTGAGTTGCTTTTTATGTGTGGGTAAAAGGTGAAGGAAATGAAAGGGGAATTTTCCAGAGAAAAAAGTGTAGTAGAATTATCCATTCCCATGAAACAGAAGATAACCATTGAGATTCTGCAGCGGTTGAAAGGGCTGAATGCCAATGCAAATGTGAGCGAACAGCGAGGTGGGTGTGATTTTTCTCCACTATTATGCCTTTGATTTTTCTGGACGGGAGATTGTGCTTTAGTTTTATTGGAGTTTATTTTTGACTTGCAATTGCAAACCAGACGAAAAATGCTGTACCTTCATTAACTAGAATGCTTCAATTGGAAACCAGACAAGAAATGCTATATCTTCATTAACTAGAATGCTTCTATAGTCACAAGAGGTCAAATTGCTACCACTACTGCGTGTCTCTGTAGGTTTTTGCTCATGTTGGCCTCTCCTCATTTATCCTATCATCTAATAATCATCACTCTAAAATTAACTGTGACTTGCAATGGCTTGTTTATTATTTTCTATGGAGTCTAAGAGTCAGTGATCAAATATTTCAGGAAAGATGTTCTGCACCTGTTGTCATTTTATTTTAAATTAATAAGAAAACTAGAGGCCTAATCTTTGAGCAGGTCAATATTTAATTCTCCCCAATTCCCTGTGATTAGTGGGATGCCAGAGGCCTTATACTGAAAAGTCTAACCATTTCTCTTTTGCATAGTAATGTGCTCCATATGCTCACATAAATTGAGAACTTGCATGATTTGGCCATGATTTCTACTATCTGCACATCAGTGAATGATCAAGTTAATGATGTGTGTCCAAAAAGGACAAGTAAAGAACAGTCAAGTTATTGATTTTATAGGAAATTCCTGGATCAAGAAAATAGCCTTGAATTTTTCTAGCATTGCTGGGTCAAGTTAAATGCAAGAATATTTGCAAAGCATATTCAGAATTTTAGCTGAATGCATCATGCTGCACTACATTTACTCAAAGAGGAACAAAGCAATTTAGCAGACTCGTGGTCATACTCATACACCATTACCTCTTATGATCACTAGATTCCTGTAAATTATCTAGAAGGATTTGCATAATTGGACTACTTGAATATTGTAAACCTATGATTTAACATGGGGTTCTAAAGAAGTTGAATTGAACTGGTCTCAGCCACTCAGCTTGGGTTTGCAAATTAATACTTGAGCTCAGGTCTATTTAGCCAAGCTCAGGCTCAGTTCTTATTTTACACAATATTTAAATTTTAGGAGCATTGCAGCTCAAATTTTAGAGACCATGTTTTGAGGCCATAGTCCATACCTATCTATAATTTTCTATCTACGTAAGGGCAAGTGCCATGTATGTGTGCAAGTGAAGAAGGAAGATGGTTTTTGGTGCTATGCTAATGAAATAAGGAGATTTAAGTGGGTAACCCAAGATATAGTCATATGGAAGTAAGGTTGCAGTGGGTCAAAACAAGTGCTAATTCTTTGCTGATGCTAGAGAAACAAGGGGTGGGAAGAGATAAATTTTTTTGGGCTTTATTGTAATTGGATTTCCTTTTGGGGAGAGTGAAGAGAGCTTATCTTTCCCCGTCTTTGTTCTGTTGTTCTTTTAATCTTTAATAAAATGGTGCAGTTATTGATAAAAGAAATGCATGCGTGCAAGTAAAGATGGAAGGATAAAAAGATGAAAAGACATTTAGATTTTAAAACCTCTTCTTCTGTACTTCGTTAAATGTCTTAACTCAGTGATTAGATTTAAGGATTAAAATATTTAGACAACTAATGATTGCAAGCATTGATATTATATGATACTTTAAAATATTTTTTTGATGAATAATAGTAAATTTATTAATTCAGAAGCTGATTTAGAGTTGTAAATTCATACAACATCCCAGGGAGAGGCGCGAGCTGCAGCCCCTCCTTGAATCTTACAAGTAAACTAGGAAAGAAATACAGGAATCACAGCTGAGCCCAAAACAATTCTTCCCTATTTACCCCTTGCTTGGCTAACACATCGGACAAAGTATTTGCTGATCTCCCCACCCACTGTACAGAGACCAACATATTCCTTGTCAACCAACTAAATTTCTTCATTTCATTCTTGTAGCGCCATATGATACTTTAAAATATTCTGGTGTAACTTTTATGTCCTGGACGTCAAGCCAAGGCAAGTATCACCATTATATGGTAAATTTATAGACAGACACATTAAAATAAAGAAAAAAACAAAAAGGTTATAACATTTATATTTATCTTTTGCAATATATTAATTTAATTATTCATGATATATGTTTTTTTTTATGAATATTCATGATATATGTTATAGTATATTTGAGAACTTGAAAGTGCATATTTGCTGAGAGTATCCACTTCATGGAAGTAAATGCTGAAAGTTAGGTCCATATTCCAGTCCCTGCCTCCCAAAAGACCCCATATAGCTGGGACCGACATTGGTTAATGGGCTTTTTTATATCTTATAATATTTAAGTGAGCCAAGATTAAATCTAGTCTAGCCCACCCAAACTTGGCTCAGGCTCATTTAGCAAAATGAGCTCAACTCAAGGCTCAGTCTTGGCTTCATTTACAACCTTGGTTTAATATTCCTTCCACTTTGTGATGAGCTACTTCAGTTTTGAACTTTGTGGATGCATTTGAGTGGCTTTTGCTGAGACATTTTTTTCCCTGTTGTTTCACAAAATTTTGGTACTTTCCATTGGCTGAAAATATCTCTGTTATTTGTTCACCAATAATGGAGAACAAAGAATTTATTGATGGAGGAGAAACTAGAAGAAAAGCATATACGAGAAAGAGCAAAAGCCCCAAGTAAGATGAAGAAAAAAAAAAACTAAGACATGTAGCCTAACTACAGAAAAAGAAAGAGAAAACAACTATCCTCTAATGTCTAATGGTGGCTTTGTCACTGATTGGAAGAAGGGTAGAAAATACTCATAAAGAAATAACAGAAAATCCCTAAATCTGATCAATCTGTGCAGTTCACATGGCTTGAGCTAGGGTTTAGCTCAGGCTGAGCTGACCTTGGGCTTTACCTCAGATTGTGCTGGTGATGTAGAACCATAAAATTCCAATTTTGACTCTTTAGCTCCTGCATCAACTGGGCATCAGGCTGGGGAACCAAATCTTGGGGTTGGTCATAAACCCAACCCTGCTTGCCTATGTTTAATCTCTATCTGGATCTGTTTGCTAGATTACGAATCTAGCAAAATGTCCATGTATTAACTACTTAGGATTGGGAAAAAAAAATGAAAATAATGATCAGGTAAGTCCTAACCATTCATTTGTTGCATTATCCATCTCAGTAGCAATGAGTGAAATTCTATTCTATATTATGCTTCAAAGCAACAAAAAAAAAAAAAGAAGAAAAAAACAGCTTACACTAAATAATGATCAAGCAATCCTTAACAATTCATGGGCAGTAAACTTGCAATTTAGATCTGAAAATATACCAATACTGTAGCTATAGATGATTCTCTCGGGTTTGGATCACCCAAGTGAAGGTACGACTATCAATTAAAAATTGGTTATGGTCCCCAGTAGACCTGTTCATGGGCAGGGTAGCCTCACAGGCTGACCCAGCCTGTTTTTGGTCAGGCTTGGACTGGATTTTACAGTGTTTAGAAAACCGGACCAGACCAGCCAGTTGGACAGGTTAAACTGTGGCCCAGGACCTTGTTCGGTTCAGTCTTACCCCAATAACCACTTTTGCTAAAACCAGTGAAAACTGGATGACCATTTGGTTTAACCAGAAAACCGGTGAACTGGTCTCGGTTTAAGGAAACTGCCCGGGTCTTTAATCAATTCACATTTTAAAATGTGTTTAATAAGATTTGAACCCATGACCTCTTATTTTCATATATTTCTTAATTACCATTAGTCCACCTCTTGACTTGTTTTAATTAATTACTATTTACTGTACATATTACTTTTATTATGCATGTATTTTAAAGAAAATGTAAATTAAAAGACTTAAACCCTAGTTATTTGTTTTAAAAATTAAGGAACTTGTCATCCACACACCATATTTAAGTATATTAAACGTTGTAAAACATATTATATATGGTATTTGTATGACTTGTAATATAAGTTCTATGCCCAGTCTGAATCTTTGAACATTAGATTTTAGGCCCACAGGCTTGGGCTTAGGCCCAAAGCACTAGGTCCAACACTTTTTGGGTAGGGCTCAGGCTTTCTTAGAAAAATCCGCCCTGATAATATTTTGTATAATAAACAAATATATAATATATTTTTTCTTTGTTCCTCTTCTCTTTTCTCAAGCCATAGTGAGATCTTTTAGTATATTTGGGTTTTGAGGTCATTTAATATACATAAATCAGTTTTGTTGTTGAGTAAAAATAAAAAATCTTCTTGCCCAATTTCTTGGTTGGGCTTTAGGCTTCGAGCCCAGGCTTTGGGCTTTATACGAGGCCTGCGCTTAGACTCAAGATCTAGTCCCTAGCAAATCAAACCTCCAGAAAGGAGGGCAATTGAGCTTCATATGGTTGTTAATTTATTTTTGGTAAATGTATATGGTTGTTAATTTTCAAGTCAATATTTGGTAGTCATGCACGGTTCTTGTTTTTGGAACTTAGTATGGTAGTTTGTGCATAATAGGTAGTTAATTTCTTGTCCCTTACTTATAAGCAAGGAATAAAATATTATACACTTAAGGGTATCAGTGTGTATTGATATGGCCGATATGCTATATATTTTTTTTTTACTTTTTTTTTTTTTAATTTTATAGGTATTGGAGAGCCTTTCATCATTTTAAATTTTAGTTTTGAAAAAAAAATCTTTGTATTGGTGTATCTAAGTGTATTTGGGTACACTGATACCAATACAATATGCTTTGTATTGGGTGTATCGTATCGATGTTTTAATCCTTGCTTATAAGAGCTGAGAAGATTCTCATTTTATAGCTACTTGTATTACTAGGGCTGTGCTTGCATATCAATTTTTTGACACTTTTAAGAAAAATAGGGTGAAAATAAAGACAGGAAGGGGAATAATTCATGTACGAGTTGTTATAATATAGGGAAAGAAGAATTGAAACTTAAGTATAATCTGTACAAACAAGTTACCATCCAGAAAAAATATGAATAGTCAAGACACTGGAAATGCTTTTCCTTTTGGCTTGGTTTATTGCATCGAAGCATTGTCCAGGAGGTACCAGTAAACCCATGTATGGTGCATGATTTCCTCCCCATAGGCATTGGCTAACAATTTTTTCAGTGGTTCTTATCCCGCTATTTTTTGTTCTTTATGGGGGTGTTTGCAAATATGTATGGTTCTGTTTTTCAAAAACAAAACAATTGCCATGTCAGTAAATTTGTTTTTACTGATGTGGCAATTTTTTTAATAAAACAAAATCATAAATATTGGCAAATAGCCCATAAATGTTATGTTCTTGCTTTGTTTCAACATGCCAATATTTGATCCTCACGTGCTTTGTTGAACAATTCACTATTAACATGTGATGTTTTCAACAACTTGGCAAACTGTTGGTGAAGTTTTAAATCATCAGATGTGCTGAAATATTTAACCTTTGAAGGGCTATGCTTAATTTTGCTATTTTTTTCCCGCTTCCTGATTCCATATGCTGACCAATTTACTTGATGATTTGGGTTTTTATGATCAGAGTTGGTGGAGATCTGGCGCAAGGAAAAATTAAAAGAGGCCAAACAGCTGATACGCAGCAAAAAAACACTTAATTCAACCATTCAAGCCAAAGAAGCTAGTATATATTCTTGCTTATGCTTATCTGTGATATTTTCCATTTATTAAGTTGAAAAATAAAGATTTAACAGTTATTTGTATACTGAAGGTACTTTTTTGCAGGGAATCTAATAAGAGCCTTGGAGTCTGGGTGGACCATGCTATTGGAAGATATTGGGCTTTGGATACCAGCTGAGATAGTTAACAATGAACATGATGATAAACCAGAGGGTGAAGAGGAGCTTGGTAAAAAATCATCCTTTTTTTTCCTCATGTTGACCAAACCCTGTTTCCTGTCATTCTCTTCCAGATCTCTGCATTTTAATACTAACATTCTGTTGGCCCAAATCATGAGCCATCCTGATTGTTTTGTGAAAAGCATGGATATATCCAAGTACATGCTCTTTAACCTCTGGGGCATCTTTCTCTCCAGATGATGAAGTTCTAGCTGGTCCGCCAGTTCCACCTGAATGCCATGCTGAGCTTCATACAGATTATGATGGGGCTGCTGTCAGATGGGGCCTCACTCACCCCAAGGAAAGTGCTGCTGACTGTTGTCAGGCTTGTCTTGAACAGGCTAAACGTGCAAAGCGAGGTGCAATGAAGTGCAACATATGGGTTTATTGCCCATCTGAAACAGGGTGCTATTCACCAGATATTTATGAACACAAGCATCAGGAGTGCTGGCTGAAATATGTAAGGCTTAGCATTATTCTATTATGTTGTGTTATTTCATTGGCAAGTTTATGGGCTATTATACTACTTTATTATCATCATCTGCCTTGTTCCACCTGAGTGCAGCCAGCAATGGCTCTGGTTTAATCATTCAGCTCCAAGGTCTCACATCTCTTAAAAAATGAGCTGTCCTACCCTTTTTTTCCATTTTATGAACCAATTTTTTTTCTCCTTTGGGGTCTTCACTTGCAACAAATTGCTCCTTCCTGTTGGTGCATTTTTGAGGTATAAGGAAACATACAAGAGAAGAAACTGGACTCTGAACATGATCCCTGGGACCAGTATTGAAATATTCCCATAGTTGCACCTGCACCAACTTATAGCTTCGTGTATGATTGACCTGTCCTATTTGTACATACAGGGGATACTGGGATTGGTTTCATGGGTATCTCTGTGGTGTCAGCTTATATTCTAAGTATAGTTGCAAATTAGAAAAGACATAATACGAATCATTACTTTTCAAAGTAGTTGGTTAGTGGATCAAATCTTGTACTTATGGTGTATGCCACTGTCTCTTTCTCATTTTACTCTTTACTGGGCAGCTTGTAACATTATTTTTGCGGTAGTTGTTCTATGGGCTTTCATTGAAGGGGGATCTCATCTTCTATTTGTTGAAAATGCTTTTAAGGGATGTGAAGAGGGAAGTCTAAGGTCCAGGTTTTAAGATGGTTTGGACACCCATTTTGTGTCATTAATTTGACAAGAATTTTCACTTCGCAAGTACATCCCTCTTCCTCAACTGAGAGATATTTTCTCAGAATGAAGAGTCTACAAGGTAGTATCGGGGTGGCAGGTGCTAAGTTTTACCATGTGAGGAATTTGGAGATGAGATGTTTAGATGTCAATGCTTGACCTGCGAGTTTTGAATGAGTTTTTACCTCCTATTATTTGTATTGGTTTCACTAGGAGGGTTTATTGCTTGTAGGATCAAAGACACTATTGGTTCACATACTAAAGGTTGGTACTACACTTGGGTATCTCTCCTAAATTGTGCCTACATTAGCCAGATGAATGCAATTTACTAGGCTATCAAAAATTGGTTATTTTTGGTTGAAGACGTCAAAATCCACTATTATATACCCCACATATACACATACCCCTACTCCATTGTTACCCAAATATGGCAAGGACATGATTGGATATGGAATTTACACTTTTGAAGTATCTGACATGGAACGGCCCTAGGTACAGGCATCCGGGTATCGTAGACACACATTAGTAATTTTTGTCATATGTTGTGTATTCATCTTGTTTCTGCTCGAAATGGCAATATCTCATCAGAAGTTACCTTTCGATTGGATTATGATCTGATTATCTTGGAAAAGGTCTAATTATTGCTTGACCAGACCTGCCTTGGATTTCTTTTGTATAACAGAATTTTCTTTATGATTTTTTTTTTTTTATATACAGGCAGAGAAACCTAAATTGAACTTCAAGGACAAATATTCTGATTCATATAGAAGTGCCCACCCGACAGCACCCTTAATTGTTCCTTGGGTGTCTGGTGTTGTTAGTACATGAGGCATTGGTGATGAGAGGGCTGCAAATCTGAAGATAATTTCAGAGGATCAAAGGTCACGAAATTTGACCATCCACTGGAAAGCTTATTCAGTCTGATTTCGACGATCCATTCTCCCCACCACTGTTTGTATTCCCTGGCATTCATTCATGTCTACTTGTTTTTAATGTTTCTTTGCAATACTAGGTGCGGTTCAAGCCACACTTCAGAAAGAAAAGGGAAAAGAAAAAGAGAAAGGTGATACTGAGCATGGATCTGTGCAAGGCTTCTAAGTTGAGCAGCCTTGCACTAGCTGAAGGAGTTTTTGGTACTGTGGATATCGATCATAGTGCTGAGACCTACAAAAAATTCTTAGATGAATGTAATCTGTCATTATTGATTAACTTTAATGTGGATGCCAAGTTCTTAGTTCTTGGAATTTGTTTGTTGTTGGTTTTTCCTGTTTCTAATTTTGACAAGAGCACCATAGTTTCTGGGGCGGGTTACAAATGTTCTAACACGAAAAAGAAAAAGAAAAAGAAAAAGAAAACAATTTGGACCATGTGTGATAGTTTCTGGCAGGCCCTGTTTCCAGGCCATGGAAGGAAAGATAATGAGCCAACATATGCTATGCATCTGTGCATCTGCAAACATACTCCTTTTGGAGTCGCTGCAAACATACTCCTTTTGTCTAATCAACACATTTATTTTTTCACATTTTTCTTCTTCTACCTTTTCTTTTCTTCTTTTTCTATAACAAAAATAGGGGTTCAGCCCCTATATTTTTTGAATTTTCTTTCCTTTCTTCTTTTTCTTCTCATAAATATGTTGATTTTCTATACTTAAACATGAAGTTTATAATTTTTTTATGAAAATTATGGATAGTTATTAAAGAAAGTTGGTTATGGAACCTAGGAAACTACCCTAAGATATGTGATTTTTACTTAAAAAAATTTATCGCCTAGGCGACAAGGCGCTCTATTGCCTAGTCTCGCCTTGGCACTTTGAAAGCTATGGCTATAAAGTATTAAAGAGCCGGGTTTCAAAAGCTCTTACTCAAAGCAGGGTCAAGTATACTGTTGAAAGTTTCTATTGTGTTGTTTCTCCAGTGCTGCTGGGTTCTTAATTGCTGATTGCTGTAGTCGAGTCTAGTTTATTTCCCTTTTCCTAGTTTTAGTCGGCGTTTTCTTTCCTTGTTGGTTAGTTTTATAGGGTCTCTGTTTCTGTTGTGGCTGTAGTCTCTAGTTGCTTATGTTCCTTAACAGCTATTTGATACTTTTGATTTGTTTTTGACTTTTTTTTGAATAATAAAACAGATGGTGAGAGCATATTCCCAGGCTGAAGTTTTTTCAAATAAAAAAGTATGAAATATGAATATTTAATGAGTTCATTTGGGTCGTTTGGAAATCCATAACCAATAGAAAAAAATTTGAGAAATTTCAACGAATCTTTAATCAGCCTATTGGGCGCTTTAGATTGATAGGAATCTACTGAGTTGGTTTGGTTCATAGTCATGTGCGAAGTTTGTAGGAGTGTTATACTTTCACTGAGTGGTTACTTTGTTTCTTATTTGGTTATTGGTTAAGCAAGTATTATAATGCACAAGAGACTGATTTAACTTTCTATTTGTTGAAGCCTTGAAAGATTGGTTCAAAAATAGGCACCAAGGATGGGTCGAGGGCAACAAGGTAACTTCGCTTCCTAAGCCGAAGGCTGATGTGTTCGACCTAAGGATCAGAGAGCACGTCAGAAGCCTTGAGTGTTATCCCAGGGGTAGAGGCTCTGACGGTCAAGTTAGTCAAGTGCATAGTAAGGGGTCGGACGAGGCCTGAGAGGAAGAGCTTAGATGAGGTCACTCGAGTGGTAGAGAGCTTGAGAGTAGAAAGAGCCAAGATAGTTTAAATAGGGAGTGACAATCCTATTTATACTTGAGCTCACTTGGGAGGAGGTTGGAGGTTGTTAGCAACGGACGATTAGGATTTGATCCGGTCGATGCCACGTGGCGCCATCCTGGCCCTGCCATATGTGCCTATATCATTTGTCCCCACTCTCAAGGTTGTGGAGGAGGGTTGTGTGGAGACCTCGACTTTGGCCGAAGAGAGTGTGACATCATCACTAGGAGGCGTTGGATGGCGTGTTAGGCAAGGACCTCGGCTTCATTGGAGAGAACGTTATCTCAGAAGCGTGGAGGCATCGACCTTGGCTACTGAGGGCTTCCCTTAGTGTCTTGGTGGCAACTGCTTTGCAGTTGACTCCACCTCTTGAGAGAGTCATGGAGGGCCGAGGGCAAGGTACCGTGTCTTGTATAAGTATGAGGGATAGTGCCCCTCAGCTACGTGCTTCATGTACGTCGCAGTGGACCCATGCACATGATAGGCATCAGTGTTGGTTGATTGTTGCTATGCATGGGATGGGTGATCGATCGATTTGCTGTAGCTGTGTGCGAGAAGGGTGTTGACGTCGATTAGTAATGGTCGTACGTGGGATGGGTCTCGGTGTTAGTTGGTTGTGACTATGTGTGAGACGGTCATTGGGTCACCTGGGTTGAATCGCTTTTGGCCCAGGGTCGGTGGTTGAACTGGCCAACACATTCGGTGTCGTTTCATATCCTCGAGGTCAATGACACGTGTCACGCGTCCGATTAGGTTGTCAGGTTGGCTGCTCCACACCCGTTAGATCAAAGACAATTTGAACCATTCATTCTTCTTTAAATAGGGTGCTGATTGAGGTGGTTGTCACCATTTGCCTTCTTCAGAGACCACCATCTTAGCCAATCCCTTAACTTTCAGAGACCTTGTCTATTAGGTAAAAAATTGCATCCTTGGCCATGTCTTACTCCAATTCTGGGGATTGCTCCTGGAGGCACCGAGTGCAGTTGGCAAGGCAATGAGTCTCCCAGTGAAAGTGCCGGGTCTACGAGGCCAAGGGGTGGCATCGCTGTTGATGCCCTGGCTTCGCCCGAGGTGGTGGAGGGCGGTGAAGGCAAAGAGCTAAATCTTGAGTTCATAGCCGAGGCCGCAGCCCGAGGTGTAGAAATAATGTGTTACCTGTGCTTTGACCTAGATAGCGAACTTAGCATAAAGCAAGTGAAGGCTTGGCGGCTGGAGGTGGGGGAGGTGTGTGTACACGAGCACTACCTCCACTTCGGCCTTAGGTTCCCCTTGCATCCCTTCATCCCCGACCTGTTGAGGTGCTACAACATCTCTCTCAGCCAGCTTGCCCCAATGCCGTGAGGATGATCATTGTTGTACTGGTGATGACTCGATTGAGGTGTCTACGTGATCGAGAAGATTTTTCGGTGCATGTTCGTTTTGAGGAGACACCCTTCTGGGGAAGGTTTGTACTATTTCCAGGGCCAACATGGAAGGGTGGTCGACAACCCATCATTCTGAAAGGGATGAGAGATCCATCATATGGATGGATCTTCAACAAGAACTGAATTCTTCAGCAAGAATGTAGTAGAGGGCTGGTGAGCACGACTTCAAATTGCCTCTTCTACCAAGAAGCAATATCAAAAATGATTCTTGATCACTCCCATAGGTGGAGATTGAACTGGGTAGGGGCGACAAGAACATGAAGAAAAGAGCAGAAGATAGGAGCAGTCAAACTGTGAGTTGTCTTCTCTCTTAATTCAGCGGACTGTGAGTGTGTTTGGAGGTCTACCCTGTTCTCCTATTTATAGCCTTAAAGAGAGGATCTCCTAATCCTATTAGGAGTTTCCTAATCCAAATCTTTTATTTGGATTTGGACTCTCTTTAAGAGATAAGGATAATCCATTATCTTATTTACAAATAAATATCAGCATTTCTAATCAAATTAGGAGTTTCTTGATCCAAATTTTTATTTGAATCTAGACTCTTTAAGTGGATAGGGATGATCCCTTATCCTATCTGCTGATCTAAATCCCAAAACTGCCCCCTATTTAATTAATCTTATTAAGCCAGTTCGAATGGGCTTTAGGCTCATTAATTCTATGTGCTCACTTAACCTCTTAACCTACTATCCAGTTGGCTATCATTGTATGGCGTGAAACTCAAACATTGATCTATACATCAACCACATGGGTTCAGCCAAGCCTTTGTTACAATGCTTGGCCGAATTCACTGTAGGAGACAGTGAACGCCTGAGTCCATCACCATGGGCTCTTAATGTGCCCAACATTTACACTAAATTGTCCTTGGGTCCAACCACCTTATGAAAACCCAAGGACTGTGGGCAGATACAAGATTAGTCCATCAGGTATTACCCTCAATGGTCTAATACTTAACCTCTTAGCCCATAATGATCAAACACTACTCGACAAGAGATGACCTCTCCCTTGGCTATAAGGTGCAATGCCGCACTCTCTACTCACATGGATCCCGGAAATTAAAACCTTTTGCAAACATTTTGAAACCATAATATATATAAATTTTTTCTTATTCTAGAGCAATAGAATCATCAGAAGAAAAACTTCAAAAAACTTGTCTTTGTTTTCTGCTTTCCAAATTCTTTCAATTCTGCTCTTATTTTGTCTTAGCAACATAGCTTGAGGATGAGGTAGGGGGCGAGGAAGGGGACGAGGACGTGCCATTAACTTAGGACGTGACAGTTGTATACTTGTATTGTAGATTAGGTGATTACAAAGAGACTATGGTTCAGTCGGATCACTACATCTTTCCAAGATTTTTCAAGCACTCCTTGACTCTGAGTTGAAGAATTATGAGGTGGGGAAGCATGTTCATGATTATATGCTTTGGGTTTGAAGGGAATCCTTTTGTTCTTGATTTGTTTATAAAATGTGGAGAGATTGGTTTTGCCAGGCATAAAAGCTTGTAGGGGTAGAGCCTGACCAAATGACATGGAATCCAATTATTGCAGGGTATATGCTCAGAGATGCAAGCTTTAGAAGACTTTAAGCCAAATGTGGTATCTTATATTGCACTAGTAATAAGGGATGAATTAGTAGAATGGTTGTTCTTTTGACGCATTGCATATTCAATTCTCATCTTATAAGAATAAATGAAAAAGTAATAGGCAAGGCAAAATTGTAGCACATCACCAGGCTTTGTAGGGATACCCCTTTCTATTGCCTTTGAACAGGGCTTGGTGCTCCAACTTCAACTTGGTTGCTGATACCAGTCTATCGAACTATCTTTTCTATTCAAGAAAAAAAAAAAACCATTTTCTTTTATAGAAAGGTGAAATGAAGAAGACAAGGGCAAATTTGTCCAAAAGGGTAATTTGAATATTTAGGAAAGTTCAATAGATAACCTCAACCCACAAGGACATTTTCTGTCCATTTTCTTGATTAATTAAGGGACTTGCTTTACCGATTCCCTTAGGCTAATCCTATACAAGGTTTGTTAAGGCTTCCCTACCTTTCCCTACATTTTCTTTCAAACCAAACATCACTTTTATAATTTTCTGTAATTTCTTTTTAGGACAAATTAGAAGCTGCTACCATTGGAGTAGTGACA